TAGGTGAGTGTAGGTGAGTGTAGGTGAGTGTAGGTAAGTGAAGGTGAGTGTAGGTAAGTGAAGGTGAGCTGAGTGATACTATCCAACGCCATGGGTGAGTATGGGTGATTAGTGGGTGACAGAGTGATTCTATAATAACTAGACTCCCTCTATCACTAGCTTAAATATGAGGGCCTCCTCACTACTTAACTATTATCTCCTTTCCTATCTACAAGCAGTGTTTTTTAGTGATCTATTTCTCTCAGCTTTCCCTTCTATCATTTAATCATGTTATGTAATATATTTTTAAATGATTTTAATCTGCTGAGAAAAGTAGAGGAGCTCTATAAGTTTACTAAATTAAGAGGGTTTATAATAGAGTACTAGAAAGAATAAAAACGTAAACTAAATAAAATTAGTTATTAACTTAATATTATGCTTAGTTACTGATGGCAGATGTGATGATCATCCCCACAAATTCCCTCCTAGAGGCTAGCTCACATACTTTTTCTTTGGGTTTCTTTGTCTTTAATGTCAACACCACTATCCCTAAAGGGAACTAATGGCCGCCACCAAAATCTCTAGGGCGGCTGTCCTGAAACTTTCTGATTAGAACTATAGCTCTTAAAGTCCAAATTTCTGAAGATGCACGAAAACTCAGGGTCGTCACAATTCAAGGTTGGTGTGGAAGTCTTTATGTTTCTCTTGATCAACTGCTGATATTATTGAAAGGAAGCAGTTCCACATTATTTATAGCAGAACGAAGCTTTTGCTGTTAATAATTGGTTGTTATTCACCATCAATGATGATTATCAATCGGCGTATTATTGTTTTATCATCGACCACGCTGGAGAGACGACTTGATCTCATGTACCAAGACAATATTACACTCCTAGGACTTGCTCTCTGTAGCAGGTGCCCCATTGATTTCCCAAAAATTCCTTTCCCAATCACAAATGGAATTGAATTGCCCACCTCCATTCTCTTCCATTCTCTGCACCTCCGTTGCAATGGCCTGTCTCTCTCTCTCTAGCTGTAATATTCACGTCACTTCATCGTCTGGGGTGGCTGATCTCTGTAGATTTCAGAATCTGTTGAGTTAGAGTGCAGCTGAGTAGACGTATTATAGTTCCCTGTGGTAGTACTTTTATTGCCTCCGACGTGTTCAATATGGAATGTTTGTAGAATCTTTTTTCGGAAACCAGGAATGAATATAAAAGCAAGGATAAAGGCTGCGGTTGGTGTGCCTATCCCAACTCCCACACCAATGGCTGCTTTTGAACTGGTGCTCAGATTTGACGAAGATTGTGATGAGGTCTGCGGTAAGGAAGGAGGGGTAGATGTGGGCAGTGAGCCGCTGAAAGAGTAAGATTCCACATCTTGAGCAGAACCACAACTCAAAGCCGAGTACCCAATATTGGTGAAGGTGGCCGTTTGACAGTAAGTGTCCGTTTCCTGGGTACTATATTGGATTAGCCCGACCGACCATTACGGTGGGCAAATGAGTATCATACCATAGAAGAACATGTGGATCTAATGTGCAGTTTCCAACACATTTAGAGGCGGCCCCAGAGGGATAACAGGTTGTGTACCATCCGTTACATTTGTCGGCAGCACAACATGCCAAAAGGTTTAAATCACTGTCAAGTGAGCACGTGGTGGGACTAGGGCAGCCGCGAGCTGAAATTATTAGTAAAATGGAGAATAGATGTTAGGAGGTGTTATATCGTCTTACTAAAGTTGCTGGTTTCGTGAGCTAAAATTATTAGTAAAATAGGAATAGAATGTCAATTGTTATAACGTCTTACTAAGGTTGCCAATTGAATATGCACAAACATTGATGCCATCGATAGTCTCTCTTTTCATCAGTTCCACTTTACGTGACGGCGGATCTGTTGGCTTTGGAGTCCAGCCAACAGCAGGGAGGGCATTTTCCGCCTGACCAGTCTGCCTTGGAAAGGCATAGACGATGGAAATGTTGACAATTAGAAAAAGCAGGAGAAGCTTGAGATGGGTTGGACCGAGGAATGTTTCTGATGCTTCCATTGTGGAGAAAACCTGGAGCTGATCATGTACGCAATTAATTTGAGTTAAATCATCTAAGAAGGAACCATTCTGAAAGTTGAAGGTGGCTGCAAGACACATTTTATCCTGTTGGGATGGCTCAGCCTTGTGACGGAATGAGGGTTTTAGTGGCCTCGCCTGCATATCTTATCTCGAGGAGGCAACTTGAAGGGTCTAAAAGAGTCAATCAAGTTGGAGAAGTGGGTAAATATTACTAGTGTTTAGCTTGAACACACTCTTAGACTTCTCATGTGATCTGAGCCAATTAGGCAGTGTATTGAGTGAAGATAAAAAGGCAGTACTCTGTAATCTTTTAGGTTCCGTCTTTTGTTCTCCCCAATCAAAACAAATTCCAGGGCACCAGTCAGGGAAAACTGTAGTGATGACAGATGCCAGCGGGCTGAGAGAGTAGTCGGAATCGGCTGCAAAGGTTTTAGTTAAGGCAAGTTAAGTCTAGAACAATTTGGAGATATCAGGACGGTGGATTCCTGAGCGCTGGCGGAGGTGCAAACGCAGCCAGTTTCCAGGAGAGAGGTCATAGTCCACAGACTAAGGAAGGATAGTCTGATGGGATGAGCAAAGAGCGGAACTCCGTAGAAAGGACGTTCCAGGACGGAGCTGTGGGAAAGCGAGCCATGCGGGGGCGCGGCTCGTGCTAAGTTCCAGCCTTGGGCCGGACTAGTGCTCTTGCAATCACTGGTGGAGCGGATGCTTTGTATTTGTGATTATTATTATTAAAGTAATCACTTCCTGGACACTCCTAAGTTCACGCGTTTTAATATCATTATTAGAAAGATTATTACTTATTAAATCTATAGAGAATAGTCTAGTAACATCTCAAAACATTAAATTGCTAAAGTAAGAGCTTGTAGAAGTTATTGAGGAGATTCATAACTTGGACTTTGTTACGCAAGCCCCTCTTCTATCCCTCAACCTAGTAGTGCTGCACAGAATGGGAGAGCTTTATTGGAACAGAACAGGGTTGGCTGCTTGTGGCTGCGTTGAAGCTCATTCGGATGTGTGATAATGGTGACACTAGTAAAGGCTGCCCCGAACCTGATCAGCGGTACAAGGTACTGGAAGTACCGGAACCTTAAAAGCAAACTCTCAACTACCTAGCTGGAGCCGAACAAGTTCTCCGTCCAGTAGAACCATTTTCTCGGACACACATGATAGTCCCCTACTATGCACTGTGGTCACCACTTAAAGATTTTCGAACCAAGATTTCACATGCAGGCTTGCAGCCAAGTCGTGGACTTGTGTGATTAGTTGGAAACATGAATGCCAAGAGATCATCATAAAAACTACCTTTGTTAGTGCGTGTGACGAAGCCTGCCTTGCGCGCCTGGCATAAGTGAGTATGTTCTTGCAGGAACTATACAAAATAGTGACATATGTATTTTTCCTATCATGGAGTCTCTAAGGCTTATCATTTCCAAGTAAGGAAAGATATAACTGCATAATCTCACGCCTATCCCTTGTTTGGAATTGGCGGGTGCGGTTGCCCCTCCCAATTGTAGTACTCTGGTTGTCAAACCCGAACTGGGTGGTATTATTATTCCCCCCAACTATGCGTTCGCTGTTGCTGAGACCGAGTTGGTTGATCTCATTGTTGTCCCCTTCCTTCTCGGCTTTGTTACCAGAGGCTGATTCTGGTTTGTCGGAGCGGGGAATGTCATTCGGAGAAGAATTGTCATCATGCTGTGAGAAATGGACGAGCTGCTGGTTTGCGGGTGCCAGTTCATCAGGAAAGCCGGCCGCTACCTTGGAGTTGGAGGTGATGCCAGTTTCTAGTTGCTTTCGTCGCGCTAGACACATAACGGTCAGAGTTACCAACTGAAAGCCCAATTTGTAACAACCTACTCATGAGTTGTTCTCTCTCCAAGGATCTTCGATCTGAACGTAGGCGAGGTTGAGGAAGATATTTGGAGACAGATGTGGAATTTAGGCCTCCGGTTGACTTAACTTGAGAATATATCTAATGCCCTAGTCAATGGTCGCTTCAGCTACGCATTACTAGTACGCCAACCAGAAGTCTACAGCCTCAATTCCAGAAGAAAGGATGCTGACGTGGAGGCGCAGCTGCCCATCAGTCGTTTCAGTATGAATCGTCGAGGAGGTCCGATCCCCTATCTCACGCTCCTCAATCAGCCGACAGCTCCTAGCCTTCTCCACTCCATGTCCGCGGTCACAGCGTCAGGTACAAAGTTCCTACTCGTTACCGTCAGGCATGAGTCGCATGACCGCCTAGCTTCAGCCAATTATTCTGCCAGCCCAACCCTTCCGGAAGTAGTTAAATAAATTAATAATAAGATAAGCAGGAAGCGTAGGAAAGGCAGTGAAAAGAAGGTTAGGTAGGAACTTTGTTCCTCCGTCTGCACTATCATTACTATTCTCGTTGATCGTCCCAAACCACAAGAGCAGCAGGCCGCCAAGGCAAGAAAAACCATCCGTTGACTCTGGGCTTTTAAACTCTTAAGGAATTGTTAGATCCGCAACTCTTTGTCAACCTCAAATTAGATCTTTGCAATTCTACTGTTATTCAACCTCCCACCCCGAATGAGCCGCGTTCTTTCAAAGGGTTTGGGTCCCCACTATGGACATGACAAGCCGAAAGCGTCTTAACTACGAAGACTATACTGTGGCTCTGGTATGCGCGATGAGTTTTGAAATGAGCGCCATCCGCTACATGTTGGATCAGGAACATGTCCGTTTGCCTACCAAGCAGGGAGACTCGAACATTTACGTCCTGGGTGAGCTAAGTGGACACAATGTTGCAATTTCATGTCTTCCGGGCAATCAAGGCAAAGGCTCAGCAGCAACTGTCGCTGCTAATATGACACGCACCTTTCCGTCAATTAAATACCGACTTCTTACTGGAATTGGAGGAGGCGTGCCAAGTGACGTGAATGATATCCGTTTAGGTGATGTAGTTGTCAGTATGCCTAATGGTCAAAATAGTGGAGTGGTTCAATATGACCAGGGCAAGGATACAGAGAGTGATTTCAAGCTTAAGGGATTCCTGTGGCCTCTCCCTACTATTCTGAGGAGTGCAGTAATGACCATGCAGTCCGACCATATGGTCATGAAAAACAGGATCACTGAATTCATATCAGCGATGTTACAGAAAGGCCCTCGCCTTACGGTTTACCAACGGCCGTCCCCCGATTTGGATATCCTGTTCGAACCTGATTATGCTCACGATCCAAAGGAAGCCACTTGTGAAAAATGTGACAAGAGCAAAATAATCCCTCGACGCCCACGAGAAGCTGACCTTCCAGAGATACATTATGGATTGATCGCGTCTGGAGACCGAGTGATAAGGAGCGCCATCAGAAAGAGGGCAATCAGCCAAGACATAGGCAATATACTTTGCTTTGAGATGGAGGCAGCTGGCCTCATGAGCGAGTTTCCTGGCATCATTATTCGCGGTATCTCTGATTATGCCGACTCTCACAAGAATGATATCTGGCAGCCATACGCTGCTGCTACTGCTGCTGCATGTGCCAAGGAGCTTCTTTCCTATATATATCCAGGGGATCTCCTAGCCATACCACCACCTCTCCCGGATAGAACCGAACAAATGTAAGTGGATTGAAAAACAAGAGAGTCTTTGTAGTTCCAGAGATAATATTGCAGAAGTTGTCTATGGCTTCCCTGCCTGTGTATGAAAGCTGATTTTTCTATAGACCTTTTACTGTGGGAGTCTCACGTTGCGAAGGGAATGAGTCCATCGTCATGGGAAATGATAATAGAACCACGCAAGATAGCGTCGGCTCCAGTAATAACCGCAGCCAGGTTACGGGGGATGGAAATATTGTATCTCAGAAAGCTCTCTCCATCTAGCTTTGTTGCTTTCAACCACTATTGTCTCGCGAGTTGTCACAAATCAGCGCTCTTCCACCACGAGAACTACCGTCCTGTCTGTCATGAAAGGTGGTAAAGATTGGGGAGGAATAATTGGCAGTTCTTATTCTTCTCAAGTTTGATTCCATAAATGTAAAATAACTCTCTTACGGCAAATGGATATGCTATAGAGTGTTCGATCAGACGGCAATGACGAGAAAGGAAAAGAGGGTGTTTGTCCACCCAGGCCAGTTACTGGATTAGGTAACGTCAGAGCTGCTGTGGTCCCTGTATTCCACAACTATCGTAGATATTGCTGAAGCTTTCGGCAAGTGATGGAGCCATTGCGTCGATACTATACGTAGCTGGATTGACTTCCGCCTGATGACTGTCATCATCTACCTGGGCTCCAGGTGCAAAGTTGTGCGGGAAGTCGTGTTGCCCATCCTGCATAGTTATTTCAGGCAATGAAGTATTAGCTGCATCCTCATCAGCGCACAGGGGCTCTTCTGAGATTTCACAGCCATTGTGCGAAGCATCATCACTCCATAGCCTGGAGAACAACATATCTGGATGCGGCAGGTCATCAATCTCATAGGCGTTGATAACGTGGAAGCCCAGGGGAGATACCTAAAATATCTTATCTCACCAGACAAGGCCTCCAAAAATAGGAGCACCAAACAAACCTTTGGTCGGGGCGCTTGTATCAAGCATACACACCAAAGACTCTGGTTCCAGGCAATCAAAGATGTTAGCTTCCTTGAACGAGCTAATCACTTAAAGCTCTTTAGTACTGCCACCACTTCTCATATTTCTCTGAGTTGCTGGATAGGGCTCTTGAAGGATAAACAGGAGAGAAATTTACATCAATAATACACGGTGTATAATTATTATAATGACCATTCTAATGTATGTATATGCGAGCATAGCGACATATTGAACTGTCACTTCTACTTGTGCTTGAGATGCATGCTCCAGTACACTTGAATAGAGCCCTGAGACCTCCGTGAATATTGCTCTGAGAATAGTCTCACTAATGCCTTTCCTGGAGCTCAGTCGGGGCATGTTGCTGGACTCATGAGACCTTGTCAAGTGAGGAGATGACCGCAAGCTGCCGCCTTCCTTCTCAACCATAGGTGGCGCAATATCAGTGGTTCTCTTGAGATTAGATATGCACCATAGCAGTGCACCCTTAAATAACTAAGAAAGGAATTATAAATATTCTATAACTAGTGAGACTGTGAAGTGAGAGGAGAGGGTGCTAAAGAAATCTTTCTTTTTATAAATTATAGTGGTAGCTTAAAGGTGCTTAGGTGGGTGGTAATCTAAATGCAATATCCTGCTGTATCTTTACTTATATACTTTAGAGTAGTTTAGCTATCCATTATAGGAACTCTGTGCAGGACCATCACAGGATGGCACCTCAGGCTAGTAAGACTAGTAGGTGGGATGCACTTTCTAGCTGTATTTATAGCTATGGGTATAATTATAGGAATAGACTTTTACTTCCTGGAACGTAGGGCATTCAATAGATTCTAAATAATAATTAGGAAGGTTTTATATAATAACTAGGGGTTTAGGACTAAGGAAATAGATAAGTTATACCTTAGTAATTAAGGCTATAGTTACTATTATTGAACACATTGAATTATTATAAAGCCTTTCTCCCCTGAAACAGCGACCTTAAGTTTTTAGTTTAGTGCTGGTGATGTGGGTAAGGACTTTATTATTCCTCATYMYCCTCCTCCTCCTCCTCCTCCTCCTCCTCCTCCTCCTCCTCCTCCTCCTCCTCCTCATCTCTCAAAGGTCTTCGCGCGGCTTCCAAATCTTGACAGGAAATTACAGAACTTGTGAGAGAAGTTGTGTCATGGAGCTTCTAGATTATTCCAAATATCCTACTTAAGCCCCCCTTCTAACCATTGTGTCAACTTCATAGCAAATAGGCACGTATTGTCTACATCTCCGACTCGCGCGTCGACCTTGTAAGTCCACATACCACTCCTCAAAAACATTGTAGGAATCTGGAAATCTAGTAAAATATCACTGCGGCCGCTACTAGGCATATAGTCAACCTGAACTCCAGAGGCATTACGAATAGTGAGGTGGGCTAGATCATTAAAGGGCGTAGTCTTCAATGGCCCTGTAGTGGAGTCTTCGTTGTCGTGACTACCATCCGGGTAGAAGCAGAGGCGCTCACTTTGAGGGTCGCATTGATGAGGCCCTCGTCGGGAAGTGCCAGCTCCTTCTTTTTAGATTCAGGTAGATAACCGCGTAGGTAGACGAAGAAGACACGGTCGCTTCATCAGGATGTTAACGTCAAAATGTTATAATTAAGATTAAGCTGTACTTTAAGGAGAGGAGAAATCTTACGCGATAATGGGCGTCGGGGCAATCTCTAGGAACAAGATCTTGAATATCTGGTCATCCTTAGGCACGGTGTCGTAGATGGCATCGTTGTGGCCAGGGACTCTATTGTCTTGTTGGGCCATAATGTCCTCGCTGACGAGCAATTCTTGCTGTGTAGGGTTGGTCTGGGCGAGAGCAGCAAGTGCAGCAGTGCAAAGAGACAAGATTTGTAGGAGAATTAATTTCATCACGTGGCAGCGGTTGCGGATTAGATTTTGAGACAGCTCAGGGTGAGTGAGCAATGAGGGACGAGAGGAGTGTTGGCTTTATGTCACTTGACTGGCTACTAGGCTAGTACTACTACCTTAGAGTCTAGAAACTGCCTCTCGATAGCCGCCCTAAACTAGCGCCCAACTGCTTCAGTCAAAGATGTAGGTAGACACTTGGTACTACATACAGTTACTAATCTGATATTACAGGATGAAATCATTGGACATAACGGGTTTCTTTTTTATGTGCGTGCCTATCTGATACTGATCTATAGACTATCGGATAGATTCCCAAGCTGAAGCAACCATGCAATGGAATGTCAGTGTCATTGTTCCTGACCTGTGTCATGATCGACAAAACTTCATTTAAAAAGGTCAAGCTACAGCCGAGAAGATATTGATCCGATGTCACCGTCAGAACAAGACTTTAGGCTAAGAGAAGCTTCTATAGTTCTGATTGCACCGATCTACATTGTCACCCCGGATTCTCCTCCGCGTCCATACACGGCTAAATGGCCCTTCAGAATACCATGTAGTACGATTTAACCGTCGTCGCCTATATAGTCCGTATGGCTTCGCCCTTTCCCACTGTATGTATAGTGCCATTCAGAGCTCCATTTCAAGCGTCTACAGTCTCAGCCATCTGAAAATGAAAACTCGCTCGATCACAGCCTTCATCTCTCTCCTAGCCTTTACGACAGCAGCAGAGGCAATCTTCGACAATGTCACCGTCTTTGCACCGCCATCCAACTGGCCTTCCCACAGCACCTCGTACGGCCGCACCCTTCTACTAGACCACAACAAGACAGACCCCGTTCTCCTATCGACCTGGTCGTTTTTCCCGCCGGATGGGACATACCTCCCAATATACCGGTCAAAAGACGGCGGTCAAACGTGGTCTAATTATTCAAAAGTCCACTTCTCCAACAACGGAGGCTATGTCGGTGGTTCTATCTGGCAACCGTTTCTCTATGAGCTCCCACGGCAGGTAGGCGAGTACCCTCGCGGGACCATCCTCGCCTCGGGCAACGCTATCCCGCACGATTTCTCATCGACAAACATTGAGGTCTATGCCAGTCTGGATAGAGGGTGAGCCACTCCAAATCATTCGCGAGAAAAGTCTTGCTCATGACATCGAAGATTCTCCTGGGAATTCGTCTCCGTCGTCGCGACTGGCGGCCCACCAAACACAACCAACGGCGCAACCCCGGTGTGGGAGCCCTTCATATCCATGTACGGAGACGAGTTGACGGTCTACTACTCCGATCAACGGGATCCTCTCCACGGCCAGAAACTCGCCCACCAGTCGACGCGAGACCTCATCCACTGGGGCCCCGTCGTCAACGACGCAGCCTATGCGAACTACACCCTACGCCCCGGCATGACGACGGTTGCTCGGATCGGAAACGGGAAATACCTCCTCTCGTATGAGCTGGCCAACGCCCCCGAAGCCCCGTATGCAGTCCACTACCGGATCGCCGACAACCCGCTCAAGTTCGACGAAGCGACGCCTTACCTTCTCAAGTCTAGAGATGGGACGATCCCGTCCGCATGCCCGTACACCGTCTGGACGCCTGTTGGTGGGCCGCACGGTACCATCGTCATGAGTGACGGCACCTACTCGGAAGTCTTTATCAACAGGGACAACGGCAACCCCCACGCGTGGATCAAGGTGCCTACCGGTAAGGGCGTGGCATATTCTAGAGCGTTAACAGTAATGCCGGACCCGAGTGTGATATTGTTCTTCAATGGGGGTATGTTTGGTGAAAACAATACTACCGTTACGGCAGGAGAGTGGATCGTCCCCAGGCGTTACAATCACTTTTAGGTGTATGCTCCCTTCTCCACATAGCTCTCTCTTACGATCAAAATTAAACCAAAATGGAGACTGGTTCTTCAAGGAATGTCAAATAGGCTGAAGAAAGCCACACTGTACTTAACCTATAAATAAGTCTAGGTATTTTCAAGCATGCAGACGGTGGTAGCATTGCTATTACTCATGTAACGGGGAATTTACCCGTGTGTCGTTAATATCCATGATGTCTCCGGCGGGGTAACAGGGATATAAACAATTATCAAAGAAAAATCACATCTTAAGGCGGCTTTAGTCCTTCGTTCTCGGCAATCAGCCTGGGATAACTGCCGTCTCAGGGATGCAGCCTAAATGCATATATGACCTATAAAACTGGACATGGCAACCAGGGCATCTGTTTCCCCTCTAGGGAGCCTGGTATTAACGTTTTATATTGATGGTTCAACGCATGATCATTTTCTCATATCACAGGCTACAACCGTTGCCACTACACAATCAGAAACTCCTCGAACTTCGCTCCCTTAATCTCAGCAAGCAGCGGAGTAGGATGTTCTTTCTGGTCTTCCGCGATGCCCTCGACGAAAACGTTTCCAACCATACGATAATGTACCATTTCTTCGTCTGTATACCTTTTGCGGAAGCCCGAGTCCCGTAAGGCAATAGGATTCATCATTTTGCCCGAAAGAATCAATAGATCTCCTTCCTGAATGTGCCCAATGCCAATGCCAAACCCGCCCGTTGGACAATCCGTCAGCTGAAAGACCGTCCTTCCTGCGAGGGGTGGCAGATCCCGCAGGAGCTGTTTCACAAGTTTCGATGACTGGGTAGAGTCGGAAAAGTCATCAGAAGAATTGGTGAGTTGTTCCAGGGCGTTGAGGATATCGTCGATGGCGAACGTCTTTTGCATCTCGCCATGGGCAAGAAAAGCCCAGACTAAGCGTTCCGTCATGTTCGCCTCGTCTACACCATTGCCCCATTCGGAGGCGGGCTCTTTAACTGCATCCAGAATCCTCCGGGCAATTTCCACAGTCTCCTCCGGGAACTTGAAACAGATTCGAGTGCTGCCCACTCTTCTGGCCCAGAACTGTAGCACGTACTTGCCTGGAAGCCAGGTCAAATTCGTCATATAATCTTTCTGCTCCCAGTCCTGGAGAGACTTGTCAATGTCCTTAAATCTAAATTTGCTTCTAGACGTCGAATCCCGATAGTTTGGCACCCACGACGGGCTAGGTCTACCCACGACATCCCCATGGGGTCCGTCGTAGAAATGAAACATGTTGAACACGAAATCAACCCCCTCGTAGACCAAAATCCAGAGCGTGACTTGGAGCGCCACCTCGTCCGCGGTATATTCGTCGTAATTGACGGGATATTTCTTCTGGACGCCGTCGACCATCGAGTACAACGCGTAGAAGCGATCGAGGGGATTGCAGCATTGGCGCTGGACGGTCAGATCGAGCACATCTGCAAAGGACGACAGACCTTTCCGGCTGGCTGCGATATCGTGCGCAAAGTCCTGCATAGGATTTGACTGCGCGAGGCGTTGCAGCACTTCCTTCAGGCGGCTCTGGAGCTTCCGGTGGTTTTCGATGTCGGCTGCATCGCCCGCGCGCGGAGCCACTTTGTCGAGGTTTTTCATGAACGGGGTCAGAATCTCCGGAAAGTGTAGACCCAGATCAACTAGCGAGGGGAGGGTAAAGGGGATGTTGCCGACCATGCACACGGGGAGCTTCTCGGGTAGATAGTACTCCTGGAAGGTCCATATGCGTCCCCAGTACGGCGCCGAAACGATGTCCAGAAAGCCCTGGACAGCGTCTAGAATAGATCCTATCGTGTCGCGCTGGTTCTTCTGGCTCCGCGGCCGCGTAATCTGCCGTATGTCCTGGAGGATCCCCGCCAGGCTGCTGCTTTCTCTTGGCTTGATCATCGACATTGTCTGTTCCATGTTGGGATTTATTGGTCCGAGCCATGCAACGACAGCGGTCGCGTCCTTGTAGATACGGCCCATGAGAGGGAGCTGGGTGTTCTTTTCTTTGACGTTGTTTTGATCGATGCAGATAAAGTCAATCCAGATGAGGCGCTTCTTCCGGGAGTGTCGAAGGCATTTCAGCGCTGCCTCAAGGTTCGTTGTGACTAGAAATGGGATGTCGTCCACCAAGATCTCCACCTTTTCAACAACATTTCCCCAGACATATGAGAGAGCCTCGAATTGGGGTGAGTTGTTCAGTGAGACGGTCTGCAAAGTGCATCTCACTTTCTTTCCATTTTTGTCGGGTAGGATAGTGAGAAGGCGAATCTCCGCAGCCTCGGGATTGAGAGGAGAGTACGAAAAGGAGTCCGAAGGACGATCCATCGGGGCAGACATGCTTTCCAGTATATGCAGATCTAAGTAGGATCCGGTGAGATGTGAAGATGTTCGAGATGGAGATGTAGAAATATTTAGTAGTGTTGGCCGTCCGAACGCTTTGACCTTGTGGCTATGAAGCCCCGTAGTCAGCTTATGCCCGATGGCCGGGATCCCCGCACTTCTGAGAGAGAAGTCAGAGAACACAAGTAATACAGCATTCAAGTATACCGTTGGTGAATATATTGAATTAATCCCTGGCTACCTAGGCGCAGAAGATCTACACAGTAATTATAGAGGGCGGGGTGAGCGCATATCTATACTATCCGGGATTTGCAATGGTGGCTGTGGTTCTGAAAGAGTAGACCATCCATCGTGCTTAGCTGTACCCTGCATGTTGTTCCACAGGTAATTTAGTTCGACCAAACATATAGCCTGTTATTTTAGATGCTTATAAATAGCAATTTATTTTTCTAGCTAAAGAGGATGCGGCCCTGTCCGGGACACATGTGCTACCACTGATCCACTGTGGAGTTCTTCCTAGTTTATATACGTGTTTTTTCCTGTCTGTTTCCACTCTTCATCTCATTTTGACACAAGACACTTGATCATGGCTTCCAAAGTTGTCCTCATCACTGGTGCCAATCGCGGAATTGGCAAGGGGATCTTGGAGCTGTACCTGAAGAAGCCAGGCCATACTGTTATCGCCGCCAACCGTGATCCAAGCCACCCAACTTCTCAGGCTCTAGCCGATCTTCCACGAGCTGAGGGCACCACATTGGTAATTGCCAAGATCGACGCCACCTCTCCTACTGACCCTGCAGCTGCCGTGAAGGAGCTTGCTGCCAAGGGAGTCAATCACATTGATATTCTTATCTCCAATGCTGCTATCTCCCTCTCTTGGCCTACGGTCGCCGAGGTCAAGGTCGAGGATATTCAGAAGCATATCGACGTGAACGTCTACGGCTTCATCTATCTATATCAAGCCTTCTGGAGTCTTCTGAAGCAGGCCACGGATGCTAAGTGGGTGACTATTGGGTCAAGCTCGGCATGTCTCACGGTAAGCTTTGCAGTCTACTGTGAGAGATCTGACAGAGATCTATCTAGCTAAACCCATAATTTAGTAAAAGAACCCTACGTCCTAGGATATAAATTATATGCAATTGACTTGTTCCGCTTCTTGTAGGGACTCTATCCTTTTGAAGAATGCCGCCTACGCCCCGACCAAGGCAGTTCAACACTGGTACACCAAGGCCATCTCCGCTGAAGACCCCTGGCTAACCGCATTTGCTGTTGACCCCKGGTGAGTATTTGTGGAAATAATCATCAAGCTGGTGACTAATCGGATTTGCTGGTGTAGCTGGGTGCAGACGGACATTGGTAACCGTGGCGCAGCTGTTTTCGGTTTCGAGAAGGCTGCGATGACTGTCGAAGAGAGTGCTACAGGTGTGGTCAACGTGATCGATTCGTCTACTCGCGAAACCCACAGCGGAAAGTTGTTCAAGTGTGATGGCGATGAAAGGCTGTGGTAAAGGGGAAGGACAGCTCAGTCGGTGGGTTTCCTATTGTGTTCTTGCCTCCCATAGAAGCCAATCCATACACGATGTACACTGCATAACAATTGTCCTACCCCCTAACATGAGGATTGACAATCCCAAACTAGTGGTCCTTCGAAATGCAGCAGTACATGCATGTGTTCTAGCAGTGGTCCCATAGCAAGTGTATGTGGCCACCCAAATCTTGCTACCGCACCATTCTCATCTCACCAGAGACATAATCCAATTATATGTCCTTGAAGAGTTTAAAGTTATTCGGTAACTGATCAAGCAGTCCTCAGTTGCAATATAATACTGAGCGGATATACATGAGCTTGCGCCGCCGCCTGAGGCCCTGATAGCAAGCTGACCAAGTTAGTAGTTGACCAAAACTTATGTGCTAAGAATTCTAAAGCACAGGCGTCAATAAAAGAAGATACTAAATATGTTAGTCGCTATTGGTCCAGACGAGTTCTTGCAAAATCACCGCCATACCTGTCAGATTGCTCTGTGCAGTTTGTGGCTGCCTGAGCAAACACTGCGTGGCTGGTCCAGATTTTGTCATTCCGCTCTTGAGGATCTGTCCACGATAAACCAGCCGACTGGAAGAGATCGAGAGATCAAGTGGGGAGAGATACCTGGCCATCCGGTGACGTCCGGACGAATTGTCAATCGAGGCGCTTGAAGCGGCGGTTTTGTTGGTGGTGGGGTTCACGCTCCGATGCCTCAAATGGACCTTTGCAGATTGTAGACTGTATCCAAAAGACGTTGATGGGGCATTTCTAGGAGATATCGTATACTTTTATGCCACTGGGACCGGTTAATTGTCATTTGAGTCCCTAATTTGCTTCAACTTTTCTCTTCTTTTCTGGTGGGGTTTTCTAGACTGTCAAGTGGGCTTCATCTGGCTGCCATAATACTTTATATCCGTCGAATCGTATCAATAGGGAGGACTCTGTTTATAATGACGTTAGTTGCTCCTCCGTCATATGTAAATTCATTGGTTTTCTACTTGATATTCTTACCATAGCTATGGGCTAAGCTCTGTCATCTAAGGAGCTTTCGGTATCCTGCGTCTTTTCCACATAGTCGTTCTTGAATATGACTGGTGGTATAATGTCTACGATTGGCCACCGCCTTGAAACAAGGAGCATCGACTTTTGGATTCGGAGCAAGGTCTGAGCTCTATATTCTGAATTCTCCGACTGATATTAGTCGTCAGGTATAACCAAGATACTACACCGTGATCTGCCTTTGTTCAGCCAGGAACCTCTCCATGACCTCTTCCTCCAGATACAATGCCACATCCATCCCTTTATCATCAACCCCCGATTCCATAACCTGCACCTCCCCATCTAACTTCGGCAAAACGGCATGCACATACTGCGGACGGTTCCCATCACCCACAAAGTCCACTTCGTATACTTTCAGTCGCAGCCAGGAGGTTACAAGGACATGTCGGGACCCCAAGAACGCCTGCCACAGCCGCTGCGGGGAGATCTCGTATGCGGCGTCATGAAGCATCGCGCTGATCTTCTCCGGTGTGAATAGGGCCACTGTCTCTCGGATTCGGCTGGCAATGGTTCCGATGGATGCAGCGCAAAGGCCCTTTCCTGATGCGCCCACGTGAGCGAGGAAGAGCGGTGATCCGAGGAAGGTGTCAGGTAGAGGAGGAGAGACGCGTGTTCGAGCGCCGATAGAGAGATCTAGGAAGACGGAATCGGGGCGATCGGCGAGATTCCTGGCGCGGTTGATGGAGATCCAGAGGTGAGCTAGTAATGCGTCGAGTCGAGAGATATCCCCTCGGCCGTCCGCCAACGCTTTCTGTTTGATATCTGCCAGCTGATCCCCTGAGAAATAAATCTGCGTATAGCGAATTGGTTTGGACAGGTCCCACGTTGACCATGGTGCAGATGTCGACGGAGAGAGTTCAATGCCGTCCAGTACCTCATGGGAAGGCATCGAGTTCAGCGTACTGGGCACCATTACCTTCGGATATCCCGTATCGTCCGTCTTCCACCAGTCGAACCGGTGCAGTGGCAGTTCACGCGCTGCCGCAATCAGTCCAGGATCCGGCGCTGGGCCGTCGATATCCCCTGCAGCATGGGCATCTAAGAGCGCTGGATTAAAGACCGGAGCCCCCATTAATGCATCTGTGTACTCTGAACCAAGCGCCGCTCTACTTGCAGCCGCCCACTGATGCACAAACACCATCAACGTCTGAGCATCAGCCAGGACATGCGCCATTCGGATTCCAATTACGTATGCGCCGTCCTTCAGTAGGGTGATTTGCACCTGCATACCGGGTAACCCCTGGTATTCGCGCAGATCATGCAATGCCAATGGCTCTTCACTCAAGAAACCTCTCTGCGGGAAGTTATCCCCGTCCCAAGTTCTCGCGCTAGCTCGTTCAATGGCTGAAGGTACTAGCGATCCGATCGATACGTCATCTCGTTTGATGACACGCCACTCAACTCCAGGGTCATTAGGCGTCCCGTAAACTATTATGGGCCGGTTGAAGCGCTCGCCGTGAAGGCCGCTCTGCCGAGCTGGGGCCCATTGCAGCTGACCGGCCCATTGGGGGTAATCGGATAGTGTTTGCACAAAGGAGGATTGGAGACGATCACTGAATTCCCTTTCTGTGACGTTCTGGGGGAAACTATCGAATAGCCAGATTGCGCCTGCTGGGGCAAATCGGGCAACGGTAGCATCGAGGATGGATAAAGGAGTACATATGGGTGAAGAGGGGAGAGAATGAGGAAAAAGACGAGTTCTGTACAGTTCCATCTTTTCTCTATTTGATGGTCTCTTGGAGTTTCTGAATTTACTTGATATATGGACCATTCGCTAATAGCTAAGGCTCTTCTGACTCGACCACTAGAAACGTGTCAAGATGAGCCAGCATGAGTCAAGAATACGAACAGTCCAACCAAATCCTGGTCCTTTGCCTACATAGCTTAAGCTTTTTACGGAATTATCAAACCAATAACATCGACAAGAATCATTCTTAGCGCTTTATTCAAAGTCTATACGTGTCCACTGACTCGGAGTGACGATCGATCCAACATCAGCCGTTCATGGCGTTGATTACTGGACGACGGAGGAGATAACGGCACGCCTGAGAGCGGGGTCGTGTTGTAGATAGTGCGGTCTGATAGTCTTCTCTATGGATGGAATAATCCTATCTTAGCCACGCCATCAGTTGCTTACGGCTGTAAGGCGTGCCATTCGTTGACGTGTCCGTCTATATCCGCTAACCCCAGCTCAAGTGGATCGTGGGGTATATAAACAACAACCATCCGCTTAACAGGTGTAGTAGTAATAGCAATAGCATTCGCTACTATAAACCCCATAGTCAAAATCATCAATATGCTTGACTCATCAACTGTCTGGTTCAGTACGTAACCCTCCCAATACACTAACCATCAACTAACATCACAGTCACCGGCTGCTCCTCTGGCTTGGGAAAATCCCTTGCAAGCCTCGTCCACAGCGCCGGCCATCGGCTCGTGGCCACAGCTCGCAACGTGGACTCCCTCTCCTACCTCCCCGATGACTCCAATGTGCTCAAACTCGCTCTGGACGTCACCTCAAAAGCAGCCATCCTCGAAACCCTGTCCGCCACCGTGGCCAAATTCGGCCGCCTCGACGTGGTGGTCAACAATGCCGGCTACGCCCTCATGGGCGATACAGAAGCCATTCCCGAGTCCGACGCGCGCCTCCTACTCGACACCATCTTCTGGGGCCCTGCATTCATCTCCCAGGAGGCCGTGCGCATCTTCCGCGAGGTCAACCCGGCCGGGACGGGCGGGACCATCGTGCAGATCTCCTCGATTGGAGGATACGTGGCGTTTCCCGGCAGTGCGTTTTACCAGGCTGGGAAATTCGCCTTGGGTGGGTTCACGGAGGCCTTTGCTAAGGAAATGAACCCCGAGTGGCGCATTCGGTTCTTGATTGTCGCGCCGGGCGGCATTAAGACCAATTTTGGGAGCAATGGGAAGTATATTCCTAGGCATCCGGCGTATGATACACCTGACGGCCCGCTGAATCGGGTGTTGGCGTATATGAGGAATCCGGCGATGTTGGAGTCGTTCTCGAAGGCGGATAAGTGCGCCAAGGCGCTCTTTGATGTGCTTGTTGGGCAGGATGAGAGGAAGCTGCCGAGGAAATTACTTCTGGGACCCGAAACAATCCCAATGTTGGAGGCTGAGATGAAAAAGTCTCAGGAGGAGATGGAGGCGTGGAGGGATGTGACGGTCAGCCCCTCGTCATCGGGTGGTGCGAAGGATGTGCCAATTGTTTGATCTCGCGGTGTCATGTTAGGCCTGGTCATGCATTTACCGTAGTAGTCTATGAGTTCAACTACAGATTCCAGTAAATGTAGGGGAGGGCGAAAGCGATAGTATATGACTCGATCTCGATCCATTTTGATACTTAAGAGATGGCAGCTGCGAGGATGCCATTTACACACTAGACGCATGATGAACATCCAAAAAAAAACTTCCTCTCTAAGTTCTCACCAATCCGAGGTCGAACTGTTATGTTTCGAGTCAATCAATTCATGTCCAGGTCTCCAGGAACAAAATGGATTGGACATCCTTCGAAACGGACGCCATCACCTGCGAACCCTAAAACGCCTCGATATCCCCTCCGCGTTGGAATGTAAGAACCGTCGCAGCAAGCGAGGGTACACAGGCGATACGATACAGAGACCTTGAGGCAAGTGCTAAGCATGCACCCTAGCCAACTTCAGTTCGTCATCCACATTCGCCTTTCCTTTTCCCGCAGTGCTCGAACAATGGTCCTGTGCTGGTTCTGTTGAGCCCACTCGAGTAGTGTTCTTCCATCATCTTCGTGCACCCTGGAGAAGGCGACAAGATAGTCATCCTTGAGAATGAGAAGTTTTATTAGTTTTTGATCTCCAAGGGCGTTGAGATAAGTAATGATAAAGTCGACCAGCCAATATGGGTCCAGTGATGCTGTAGTAACATCTTTGTGGCGGAGAAATTTCTCCATGCAAGTTTCAAAAGGCCGCCTGTCCGGGAATGGGAGAGAGTTTGATAAACAGTCGCTGAGCTCTTTCATCGCAATTGCTAGCGCAGTGTCGCCGTTCCAGTTTCTGGAGTTCAGATCGATCCCGTCAAGGACTAATAGCAGATCAACAAGGGCGATATCACCATTAACAACTGCCCTGTCCAGTACGGTTAGACCCTCCGAGTCCCTATTGTTAGGATCAATTTGTGCCTTTTCGAGTACAGTCTTCGCCAGTGAAATGTTTTCGGATTTGGCGACGGCGGAGAGCAGCGTTTGTCTTTTCCCACTGCTGATGGGCTGGCTTTGGTCAAGGAGCATTTCTGATAGAAAACAATTGCCATTCTCAAGKGCGTTGCACAGTGCCTTTTGCAGTTTCTTTTTCCCTTGGATAGTCGGAATCGTAGCATCGTGGGCGATTAGCAGCTTCAAAGTCTCATCCGTCCCGGTCTTCCTCCACCCATGTGTCATAGCCCACCACAACGGCGTTCGTCCGCCTTTATCTTTGGAATTTACGTTGACCTTGCCCGTCGAGAGAAGTAGGCCGATGAACTCAATCTGCTTGTGCTCTGCGGCAATTGAGAGCGTTGTGCGGCCCGTGTCGGTTCGTGCTTCAGGCTCAAAGCCATCCGCGAACAACATCTTCATGATCCCTGCTTGGCCGTGTTCTGCAACGAAGAATAAGATTCCAGAGCGATCAAGTTCTCCCGGGAGCTTTCCCACCCCTTTTGACCATAGCAATTTGAAGATCTCTTCGTATCCGTACTGAGCGCTGAACCGATACAGCTGCATGAGATCCGGGTCCGTATCATAATTCACAGATGTCGCAGGGTGCTCAAGAAGTGCCTGTACGGTCCGCCGATGCTTCAATCTGACCTTCTCAGGGGCCCAAGAGATTCGCCCGCAAAGAACCTCTACTGCAGCTAAGAGAGCCGTACTGTGATAAATATTATCCCTCACATTAACATCAACCGAGGGATTTGAGAGCAGTGTTCTGACAACGAACACATGACTCCTTCCCGCTGCTAGACGGAGTGGTGTGCGGCCACTGTTGTCCGGGCAGTTGACATCCACCTGGGGACATTTCAGCAGAATCTTAACAATGTCGTTGAAACATTCATAGGCAGCATATGCAAGGGCTGTTTGTCCTTCGTCGTTCCTGACATTCGGATCCACCTCGTATCTGGTCAAGAGAAACCGCACGATTTTGGGTGAGCGATTGATCACAGCCTTCAGCAAAAGTGGAATTCCTTCGGAATCTTCCGCAGCCTTGATATCAGCACCATCCTGCAAAAGAAGGGTCTTCATCGCAAGCACTGAGTCGTACTCAGCGGCCCGGCAAAGTAGTGCTGGCCATGGTGTTGGTGCGCCAGCCCCGAGAGATTTCCGTAGTGTGCCGATCACATTATGCTCAACAGCCCAGAACAAAGCTCTACTTTGTCCTCGTCTCGGGTCCCGTCGGTAAAGTTCGAAGTTGAAGACCGTGTAGAGAGGAGAACAGGTGCGGGTGAGAGCATTCAGATCCCAGTCGTAAAGGTGCGAAGCTATCTCGTACAGCACATCAAGGGGGAGGCTGAGGAGTGACATGGTTGCAGATCCCACTCTGCTCACCAAGACGTTCCAAACTGAAATTTGAGTAATTCGTGTTTTGGTGCTATCAAGGTAGGTTGTGTTTTATGTAGAATGCTTAAGGATAGTTAGGGATGCAGGTGTAAGATACTGGATTGATATCTTTGGTGTTGATACTAAACATCTGTGGGAGATGAAGCGAGATAGTTGTTTACACTTATTCACTGCTCTAGTAATTCCCTAAAGGGAAGTGCATTAGAGTAGTACTAGCAAAGGTGAGCGTAAAGTGAACGAATATTGTCACTTCACTAATCTTAGAACAGTCCAGCAAACTGTCATTATCCGTTAATGGATATCCATTATCTTTAAGGTTTCTCTTAGTACAGGATCCCTAAATAAGAATCGGATCACGTAAGGTGCAGCAAAAGGCTTCTACTCAGTAATACCGTCAGTAGGACTATCACTCGCCTTCCCCGAAGTAGCCTTGTCAAATACACTGAACTGAAGCGTTCAACGAGATATCAAGATCCTGTAAGCTGGTCATAGTGCATCTCAATCTCGTCAAGCCGGTAACATGCTGCTGCGATGACTGGAAAGCTCCTGGCAGTCCCTTCTTAGCTGGGGGCTGCCATTCTTCAGCTTGTTGGCAAGGTTGACTTATACTTCCGGTCAGTGAAGATTGCTGGTGCTCACTGGTCTGTGGCAATGAATATAAACAAGATGAAATAGCTAATCTGCTAGATAGTCGCCAACATTAAAGTCGACATCTCGAAGTGTTGCCGGAGAGTACATCATCTACGCTAGATCACCCGTCGCATATTTTGAATCTGACTCGTTGTTATCCACAGTCATCTTGCTGCTCTTCGCGATGGCACAACAATTAGCTATCTGTAATGGGCGTTTTACAGCACAGTTAACAAAGTAATAGTGACTGTTTTTGTGTCCTTGTTACTCGCTATACCTAGGCGGTTCGCCCTTTGGAGGACTACACCAGACCGTCTTTGCAGCCCACGAATGCTCTCTTGCTCAGTACTCGAATTTAGTGCCTCGCAAACACCTGGCTTTATGAAGAACAAGGCAGCATGGGACACTCTCGCTTTAAAGGCTCCCAGAGTCTACGGTTTAATTTTCTATTGAGTATCCTGTTGTGGCGGCTGCTTTGCACACGATGAGTGGTTTAGTCGCTAACGAGCTTCTCGCATTCAGAGATCGAACACCTGTCACTGAGGCGTAACGGTAGATACTAATCCTGCAAAACTATGCTTGGTTCCGCGTTACTACATACATCAATTGGTTTGATCTTCATCACTGGCGCGGACGGAAATCCCACCGCAATATGCAACCGTGTCTTTCAACCGCTCTCACCTGCGACTTTCTTCAACATATCCACAGCAAGTCCATAAGTCTCGTCTCGAGCCTGAACGCAAGCTTCATCCTTGTTCTTCTTGTCAAATGCATGACCGCACTCTTTCATCCTCCGAATAACCACATTTCTACCGCTTGCTACGCCTTCCGCCTCGGCCTTTTTCGCCAAGTCCTCCGCTTCGAGCGCCGACGAGTCCAACTCCGCTGTTACAACCAGCATATTGGCAGGATACTTGGACGTATCGGCATACGCTGGCGAGATCCTCGGATCCCGCGGATCCATGTTCCCTATGTATGCCTCCCGAAAAATCCGAGTCCAGAACGCCGAGCGCGGCTTCGCATTCGGGGCTGGGGCCTTCCTCATGCTCGGGTCCCTGGCAAGATCCGTCGCCGGGTAGAACGCAATGACGGACTGGAAGGTGCCACGAGGGAACAGCGTCGGGACGACGAGCGCGAGGGTGCCGCCTGATGAGAACCCGGACACGGAAACTTGCGAGGTCTGGTACTCTTCCGGCCGGTCAAGCACGTATTTGACCGCGTCCTCGACGTCGTGGACAGCTGCGGGAAACGGATGCTCCGGTGCGAGTCGATACTCGACGTCCAGGACGACGTAGCCGGAGGTCGTGGCGATGAACCGACAGAAACCGTCGTCGGCGCCATAGAGGGGAACTGCGAGGCCAGAGCCGTAAAAGTTGATCAAGACTGGATGCGGGCCCTTGTTGCCTGCGTACTTCTCCAATGGCTTGTAAACATTCGCTTTGATAGTGCGTCTGTTATCGCGTGATGGAATTCTCAGCACGGAATCAGGACGAGGTCTCGGGGGCGAGGCAAGCAGTTTGACGATGAGCCGGTAGAAGGAGACTAGGAGCTTGAGGCGCAGATAGCGCACGAAGGCGGATAGGGTGGCCATCGAGGTTGGATGGCTGCAACTGCATTCCAACAGGTCGTGGACTTCTATTGCGGGTGGAAATGCAGCGGTCTTGAGCAGGCAGCCTCCACCCGTCCCAGGCGGAGTTTGCTTTGCTATATAAGCACCAGTGTCTCGTATGCAATTTACTTAAATTGGCTGAAGCTTTATTAAGTACCAAGTAGATACAACATGCTTCGTATTCTCGTCAATGATGGCTGGGCAATCGTAAAATGACTCACAACTGGATGACCTGCTGTACCCCCCGAAAGCCTGCGGCGGACTATTTATAAACTTTTACCATGCTTACCTCCCTCCACACTGCTGCCGCTGCTGCCCCACACACCACCTGCCTAGGGCCTATCCAGGATGCTTATATATAATATATAGTAACTATAGTCATTTTAATCTATATCTAAAATATCGATTCAATGTCTAGGGGGTTGAATAGGTGGTGGTTGTCGAAGGTCAATATATATATATAGCCACCACTTCCAGCTAACCCCTTTCAGAGATGATTATTCCCTCTTGTCTCTACAATCACTAGATATTAACTATTTATATAGTATTAATATTGAATAACTACAGCACTATAGCATCTATATTGATTCATATCCCTACTACATGGCATTCGATGTCGATACTAGATGATATCCGATATCAATACTATATGGCATTTAGTATCCCTAGTATATGGTGTACATGCTATTCATGGTTATTGTGGAAATAGTGGCTATAGGTAACACAAGCAGGTGGCAGTAAAAAAATTGTTTTGGCCGATTTGTACTTTCAGTCCGCCGAGGATACTTCTGCTTGCCACCTGTACTTCTGTACCATGAAATTATCCAACTGTTCCAGGGCCAGAAGTAATATGGCGAAAAGTGATAAGTTATACAGACCCTTCTCGGGAGATTACGCCATGGTCCGACTTCGAGTTCGACTCATCGTCCTTTCCAAGCGGATGTGCGCGTCTTCCTGTTCAGCCTGGTTGAGGTGCTCCCCGGGCAACAGAATAGCCTTGTCAATCGCGACAGGCAATCCACGGTGCCGGCCACGCAGCATCACCGCGCAGAGAACCACCTTGCTCAAGGTATGCCAGCCCCCGGAAAAACTATACAATTGATCCGGTAGGCCCGTGCTGATTCCGACAGTGCCGTATGCACTGACGGTCTCGAAGATAATGTTAAAGGCGGAATATGTCACCGGGTCGCGGGTGAAACTACCCGCCTCCACAATACAGATAATGATGATGGCCAGGGCAATCCACCAGAGGTCATAGGCCAGTTGCGCCCGCAGCTGATGTTGAACAAAGTAAAGCCGACCGGAGGGCGTCTTTCCGGGTAGGTTTTTCTCCTGGCCGTCCGGATCCTGCGACTCCGATGGTAGATCATCAGCGTAGATCCCCAGGCTGCGCTCCTCATAGACGTTGGAGTTGCGCATGGTGATGACCACGGGATACACGGAAATGTACATCATAATCACGTATATGACCTGCATACCCAGCTGAAGGGCGGAAATGTTGACCACATAGAAGCCGCCGTTGCGCACACAGAGGGCCTGGAAAAGTCCGTCGAGGATTCGGGAGCCGAGCGGAATCGTGTCGACCGCGGGATTGTCAATCTCCCTGGTTTTAGTACAATTCTTTGCGCTGGGCACTCAGAACTCACATCTAGAACCTCGAACGCCACCCAGTCAATCCCGTTGAGTAGGACCACGGAGAAGAGCAACCACCAGGTATGTGGTGAAGGAAAGAGATTGGTGTAGCATCGACGGGGATGGTCCAACAGGAAACGCAGAGTGTCACGGGACTCTTGAAAGTAGGGATGCTTGGGCAGGAGGCGGAACATCGCGTACAGGATCCATCGTAGAAATATCGGGTAGCTGGAAGCTCCTCAGTATGTCATCACGATGGGGTTTGGGATTTCGAGGAGTGACTGTACCAGGTATTGCCCGCCAGGATCAATAGGCCCATGGTTATGAGCATGAACGTTGATGATCGAAAGGGCACCTGCCAACTAACGTCAGTGTATTGAAGATCCGGACGGACTATCCTGGCCTCACCATGTTGGCGTCMACAAGACTCATGCCGGAGTTGTTGAACGCGGAAATCGCAAAAAAGAAACCGGCCCACCTGGAGAAAGCAATCAATTCGAGCTCGAAACAGAAAAAGAAGCAGGGGGTCATAATCCTTAAGGGGAAAAAGGCACATAGATAAATTGGGGTATTCACCATGGATCCAGGCCATTCGTCTCCGTCACTGTGCTTTTGTTACGGGCCACATAAGCCGCCACTGCCAGCCCTCCAAGAAACTGCCAGGCCACAAAGTAAATAGGCACAATGATGGTCAGCAGGCACACGGCTCGGTATTCCACACCGCCGAGTTTGTCGCGTTCCTCCTCGGTCAACGTAGGAAAGGTAGAATTCCGTCCGACTTGGCGTAGGAACGCCAAAGTTTCATGAATGGAGGAGTCTGGATGCTCTCTGCGCCAGGGCCCATGATCTGACAAGTCGGACGGCTGTCTGTAGTTCGTATAGGGCGGGAGAAGACTCGGTCGAGGATACCTACTCGATGACCGTTCGCGAGGAAGTTGAACATCAGACGCGAAGGCAAGGTGGGAGTATTCCTCGCGATTATTGACGTTCGCAGAGCTAGGAACGGAGTTGACGGAAGACTTCCGATCCAAGCTACTAGGTTGCTCCTCCTCGCGATTACTGGGGTTCGCAGAACCAGGGGGAGAGTTGGCTGAAGGCTTCCGATTCAAGAGAGCAGGTTTCTCCTCCGCGCTCTCTGTAGATGATTGCCGTTGTTCGACTCCAGCAGCTGTCTCTACAGGCAGATCAGCAACTCCACCACCTGGCTGTCTGGGTGAGTAGCTGGAAGGTTGACCGGACACAACATTGCGGTCAGGTGCCTGGGTGGTACCAGCTGGCACAGATCGCAGACTTAGACTGTCCGAGGTAGTCCCTCGTCGACGAAACGACCGCGACAGGGAAAGGCTGGGGAATATTTGCAGTGACGTAGTCCTCCTCTGCAAGCGTTGCTCTCGGATGATGTCGCCGAACCGCCGTTCAAATGCACGCCTGCGTGTCAAGAGGACGGCGATGGACACCCAGATCTACAACAGGAGTTGGCTGACACTCTTGCACTGGCTGGTGCAGTAGGGAGTAAGTGTCTTGAGCTTACCGCGGAGCCAAGTATGATTAAGAAAAATAGCCAGAGCTGCTGAAAGGTGCTCAGGGTCGACAGATTCACTGTGTTGAGGCCTGCCAGCGTCATAGCACTGACGGCGAGATACAGTGCATCAATGTAACGGAGACTACCGAAGGGTTGCGCGGCGCCCCAGAGAATGAAGGAGCTGATCAGACAGGTACCTATAAAATAGGCATAGTGGAGGGTAAGAAATCGCAGTCGCGGACGGAGTCTCCTGATTAAGCTATGTATTCGACCCATTTCAAGGAGAACCTGGAGACTATTGTGGTGAGGATAATGGAATATGCATCATGAGGTATTAACACTGTAATGACCAATCAGCAGCCGCAGTAGCAAACCATGATATAGCCTTAAACGACGAGGAACCGACCTTCCCATTCTCAAATACTTATGAAAGTTGGGCTATCAAGTAGAGACTCTGCATGGCTTGCTGTTGCCTGTGGACAGTGATGTCAGTCACATGATGCCCCGTGTGGGCAGGTGATCCGCTGCCTTTTATGCTGCCTTAGGCATCTACGCCCCAGTGGATGATCACGTGGTAACAGCCCTGCCCAAGATAAGCTGACAACCTGCCTCATTGCCCTATGTACGTACACTCTCTGGTCAGCTTCAAGCCTTATCAGAGTGAGTTACCCTTTGATGATACCAGTAGAGGAGCTACAGGTCACGGAAATTTTCCAACTACCATCTTGCATCTACGTGTGACCACTCTCCTCTTCTCATTCAATGAGTTCAGCGTCATTAGCAGGATGATGCGCATTTTCTGCTACAAGGCCCAGAAGGGGCTAATTAGCAAGAGTTTGGGATTGTCGTTCTTTATCAGAGTGAGGTGGAAGGAGTTTATCTCGCTGCTCTTAGAGGAAGCGTTTACGCGGTAGGGAAAAACTCCAATCTCCACCTCAAATTTCTACCTACAATACAGATACGGCTAGATAAGATGATACCAAAATCATAGCTGAGGCCCCCTCTTGTACTCAATGTAACTAAACAACCGTCGAGTTGACTGTAGTGTCCAAAAAGCTCGATCCCAGCTTCTCCCCCGCAGCAGTCTTGAATACCGTTACGCTCTCCTTGAAGTTGGCAAACACAGCCCCAAAAACCGACTCGCCACATGCATTCTCCGTCTTTGTGTCGCTGCTCGTATCGTCTCGTTTTCTGCGCTTGAAATTGATACCGGGTTTGATTTTGACGCAATTGTACTGCGCCTCGGCCGCTCGCAGCTGGCAAATCTCCGATGTCTTGCAATCGCCAGTGCAGCTGGAGACATCCCACCCTCTGCTCTTACGGGCGATATAATCCTGGAACACGCTATCATCGCTCTCGAACAATGCAGTGACGTCATGCCAGAAAGCAGGAGTCAGCTCGCTCGCGCTATCGGCGAGAGGGGGGCTCACAAGAGAGCCGTATGCCTCCTTGATGGAGTAGTATTTCTGCCAGGTAGGCTTGCTCTGGTACGTCGAACTGGACATGTTGGCAATGTACACGGTGTAATCCAGCACGCCAAACGTGACCGGGTCGACCGAGTAGACGCGAAACGTCGGGTTCCCGGATGTCGGAGTCAGCGCGGGAGCAATATACGACATCATCGTCGCAGTCTGCGCACTCTGGTCTGTGTAGTTGGAGTAGGCAATCTCAAACTCGTCTTTGTGGGTGTGCCCGTAGAACAAAGCAGCGATGGTCGCGTCATACCGCTGGACAATCTGGTTAAAGTAGTTGGATGCATCGTGGAAGGCATCGCCAGATCCCATGGGCATGTGGCCGAGCAACCAGACTCGCTCGCCAGCGGTCTCCG